AAATAAACAGAAATATCTTACTTCGCTCTGGCATTAAAATTATGAGGATTGAATTAATAAACACGTTATATCTCGATGCCCCCGACACCTCGACGGCCTAAGGTAGGACAGCTTCTTCTTACGGACAGTTTTATGTTGTCTGTTAGAAAGTAAATTCCACAAGTAATCTGGTGACAATAATTAGCAGATGAAAGTTTTACCAGAAATATGGTTTACAAATAGATTTTTAATTAGATTTATCTATTTAACTCTAATGTATGACATACATACCAAGAATCCGAAAAAACATATTATCGATCTTTTTTGGCAGTTATATATTTTTTTTTATTAAAAACACGAGTTCACTGTGCAAAGCCGCTGTAACAGCTGATTCAAAATAAATTTAAAATAGTGCCAAATTGTACTATTCAAATTTAAGTTTAATATTTTAACTCTGCTTTAAATACACCTACTATTTAAAGAGGGATAAGTTTCGTGTATGTTGTGTTGCTTACTGGAATATTATTTTAGATATTGTTATGGATTTAATTTAGGATTACAGGATTAAAGTAATCTGTTAATTATATTTTTACAGTTTAGGTTTGTTTAAAAATAATAACTGCACAGCGCAAAAAACTTCACGTTATAAAAAAATCTTTAATGCTCACTTATAAAGTATTTTTTACAACAAACAATTATAATGAAATATTTAATAACCCTTTATAATTGCACCATTAACTTCAGATGATTCATTACTTCCAAGTTTTCTTAACACCATTTCTCTTCGGGAAACTGCATCTCCTGAAAAAATCCGTTACAGGCAACCAAATGGCCCTAAACTTTTTGTTAATTCATTAAAGTTCGTTGGGAGAAGAAACGACAAATCTCAAGTCGCCTGCATATCTTAGATGAAATTAATCATGGACCTAAAGACACATTCCAGCACCAACACTGCAGCTTTTGTATTTCAGTTTTAGTGAGTGTTCTTGCTTTCTTGAAACATTCATCTCTTTCAATGTGTATTCAGAAAGTCTTGATTCTGAGGAAATAGGGTGTTTAAGAGACTCAATCTTTTAGGACAAATGTTTTATAAACTATTATTGAGGTAAATAATTGTCGCAACTTGGGATGTCACAAACTTTATGACCAGAGGCGGCTTGTGCATACAAGTAGTAGAACTGCAGAACTGCCAAAAAAATGCAAGTATATCGTCTATATTTAACAGAAATTAATTTAGATATTCTAAAATATACGTAAAATAGATTTAAACAGTGGCGGCTTGTGACCAAAATATTGGGGGTTCACAGTAGAAAATATAGATCTCAGTACAGAGTTAGGTAAAAAGCTTTCGGTGTTTTGGAAAGGTGTATTATAAAAACTAAAAGTTTTCACCTAAATCTGTACTGAGATCCATATTAAGTCATTGTGAACACCCAATTTTTTGCTCCCGAGCCGCCACTGGGTTTAAATTAAAATTTAATTTTAATAACAAATATTAAATATTGCGTGTGCCCCGCACCGCTTGGGCTGCCCGCGCTCACCGTCTCCTTCAGTTGTTTTAATAGTCTTGATAAGCATATGTCTGTCAACGCAAAAAAAGGGATTTAAAAAATAAAAATTGATGTTTTTCAGTTTTTATAGAAATATTTTTAATTTAGGAAACAATGAAGGTATTTCACAATTATAGACCAGACTATATATACTATGTAGGTACCTATTTGTAATCTGCTTTTAGTTGTTAATACATAATTTCTATAACAATGTTATTTGTTTTAAGTTTTTTAAATATTTTAATATTTTAAATAAAAAATTATATATTATTTAGCTAACAATTTACGATAAATAACAAAAATGTCTTGTTCTATTTTTAATATTTCTAAATTCCAGCGTCAAAACATCCAGTGCCCAATCGGCTGAGCCCAAAGGTCCTAGTGGCAAAACGGTTTGTGGTCAAACCACGGTGCATAGGCAACACCACCCAAATGTTCTGCTTCATATACATAAATAAATTTTTCTGTATAAAGCAACATTTATTATTCACAGAATCCATAAATAGTTAGAACAGATGATAAACATACAGGAGAGATGAAAAAGGTACATTAGATATTTTTAAATTACACTTATCGAAAATATCTATTAACAATACCGTTCCTAATATAAGACTCTCGTCTTTGAATATCTGGTACTTGGTATACAGGATTTGGGAGAAAAGGTTAATTCTCAACCATTAGGTTGTCTTATAGAGGCACCCAAAATCTAATGCACAGGTTATGTAATGCACCACAAGTATTAACAAATGAGCCAACAATTTCTGGGGCGTATGTTGCAGTTCTCTCCCATAAAAGTACTCTAAATCTACACTTTAAAACTCCCATACATCGTTCAATTGCATTTCTGGCTCTTATATGATGAAAGTTGTACCTAGCTTTAGGCGAGTGCTCTTGTGTGTTTAAACAAGGTGTCATTAGTACTGGTTCTAACATGTACATGCACCTAACAGCCATGAACCTCTGAGTCGGTTTCCCAAAGACTCTTGAGAAAGGAAATTTCTTACAGTTGTTTGGCGCCAAATGTAGCTGTCGTGTTTAGAGCCTGGGCAATTGGCATTAACACTAAATATCCTAAGTTCTGCATTACAGATTATCATAACATTTAATGAATAAAAATCTTGTGCCCCTCCTGGCTTGGCTTTAAATGGCCACATGTTCCGTCAACACATCGTATTACCACAGAGATACCAAACTGTTCCATAAAAGCTTCTTTCCTTATGTTTTGTTCCCTGACATTTTGAGGAAAAACAATTTCTTGAGATGCAATTACTTGCTGGATAGCTGCTGTCACTTGTACTAAGCATCTAAAATTGCGAAAACTACATGTGAATACCTATTTAATTAATTATTGATAAGATTTTATAAAAATAATACTGACCTGTGGATCGAAGTTTGGCTTAAACCTATGTTGTACGAAAGTCCAATATCTCCTTGGTATGACCCAGTTGCATAAAACCGTAATGCAGCAAAAATATTTATAAAATTTGACAGAGAATTGTGGTAGACTCCTTCTACAAGGTGGGGCTGTATAGTATCAATTGATACCTGACGGCTTCTCTGTTCAATCTGTACAATTTAATAAAGTGCTCCTCCGGAAGCTCAAATGGAATGCTGTGGTCCCTGAATCAACGCCTTTGTAATACAAGGGCTCTGTTTTGCTCCCTGTGTCTAATTCTTTGTATTCGGTTATTAAAATTTGGTAGCATACTTGCGTACCTATTTATTATAATTCACTTTCTAACAAAAACACCAACACAAACAAATACTGTCGATTTGTTTACATATGCCAACTGTCAATTAAAACACGTACTGCGCATGCTTGCTACGAATACTACGGGTTTCGAAATCGAATAGGAGTAGCAAATTTCTCGATATCGTATTTGGTTTCGAGTATCGAAAGCGATTCAATTTCGCATTTCGATTTGTAATCTATATGCAGATGATTAAGCACTTCGCCTACGGCGTCGTGTTTAAACTTCGTCTTCATATAATATGATCATCATATCTTCTCTTGTTACATAAACTACTATTTTAGTAGCTTCTAATTAACATATACAATAAAATGCAAACGTTATTTTTTATATATATATATACATTGGTATAAAATTACAATTAAATATTTTTTTATCATTTTAACTTGATTGGAACCAAATTATTATACAGATAATATTACTCTTGTTTTAAATTATTACATCAATATAAATTATTTTGCCCTCTTGAACTAAAATCACATTATCGAAATTCACACATTTCGATTACTTTGGCAAATTTAAAAACTTGTTTCCTATAAACCATTTTCCCGTATATTCTTAAAGTTTTATTTTAACGTATCTCTGAGTAGAGTTTTTTCGTTCGTAACCGAGTTTTAATAACTCTTATGAAACCTCTAATGGAAATACTCCTGGAACACGCCACAGAGACCTTGTATCATTTCTCTGTTACAGCAGGGGCGGGAACAAACTTATTTCTCGATGATTGAGTTTGTATAAGCTCCTTTTATGTATCCATGAAGGCGGATATGATAAGTGGGTAGAAACGTATAAGAAAGAACATCGGTAATTTGATTCTAGAAGAGATTGGCCCGAATTCATATTAAGCGGAACATAAAAGAGAGAAAGGGAAATATTATTATCTGGCAACTGGCAACTTTGGTTAAAAGCGGTATACTGGTATTTTGATTATTGTAAGGATTCGTTTTAAGTTGGAAAGTAACTTTCCTTTTCTGTTTAAAGTTTCTTAATAAACTTTTAACCAATCAAGAAACCCAGTAAAAGATAGAAAAGTTTAAAATTTATGATCTCTAATATTCAAACTAAGTGATACGCCCTCTGGAGGAAATTTGTAGAAGGTCCGTATAAGTAGGATATCGTTCAGTGTTGCCAGAAGTAGCAAAATTTCGCTACGTCGTCGGATTTTAGCTCTTGAAGAAGTGGACAAGACCTTTTATTTAAGAATCAAAATTTGCGTCTAGTAATATGTAATAATACTCTATATTTATTTCAGGTTTTTTTTATAAAACCGATTTATTATATTGATTTTTTTTAAATTTCAGTTCATTTATTAATTTTGTTTAAAAATCAGTTCATCATTTGACAACATTGGCGTTCGTGTTCATTGTTTACATTTTAATTTGTATCAATTACAATTCGAGTTTTTTCTTACTTTTTATCTTTAAATTTGTTTATTTTTTTTATAGTATGTGATAGTGATTATATTAAAAATGAAATCTGGCGGAAAAGCCCTGAGCAAATTTCAATCTATATTGTTAATGGTAAAATCAAAACTGAAGTATTTATTATTTTCCAAGTGCAAGTCGTAAAATTTTGTTTCTTACGATAAATGGATATCTACAAATTCACAATATTAAAATTTTGCAAAACTTTGTTTAGAATCAAACTGTAATCTGATTTTTTTTTTATTGTATTCTGCAAATTTACAGTCAACTCTTAATATACATAGAGATATAAGTAAATGTGTGAAACGAGTAAGACAGGTAAGGAGAAATCGTCCACTGGCGATCCTCCTGTATTTACTGTGGTTCAGTGGTTTGATGGGTTATTCATTCATTGTGATTTGGAACCTCCATTAGGTCTGTAGGCCACTGTCTTTTAAGTCTGATATTAGGTGGATTACTCATCTCAGTTATATATAGGTTTTCGTTTCCCTGTAGTTTGTCTTTGTACATTATTGACATTCTTTTTATTTCATCGGCTACGTATGCAATTTGTAAGTCGTTGTGTAAAGTAAGATTGGATACATACCATGGGGCGTTTTTTAATGTGCGAAGTCCTTTTGATTGTAACCTTTGAATGATTTTCACGTACGTTTGATGCTTTGGTACAGCCCCATAGCTGTATCTTATAAGTCAATATGTGGTTTAGTATGCATTTATATAATAATAGCTTATTCTCGATGAATAATTTGGATTTACATCCTATCAACCAGAAGTTTTCTCTTATTTTTAGGTTTAGTTGCTGTCGTTTGGTTATAACATGTTTTTTCCATGTAAGTTTTTCATCTAGATGTAATCCTAAGTATTTAACTTCTGTTTGAATTTGTATCTGTGCGTTTTGAAATGATACTGAAGGACATAAGGTGCGCCTAGTTGTAAACGTTATTTGTGCTGATTTGTACTGGTTAATTTTAATTCTCCATGTATCGAACCAGTTTTGTGGCATATCTTCTTTTTCGTCGTCTTCACTTTGAGGTACTGAATAATGCCCTACTTCGTTTTAGGATAAGGTCGCATCATATTCTTAGATAATGGGAACGCCTCATCTCCTACAAACACATAAGGTATTAGGTCCACAAGTGGAGGAAATACAGAAGATGCTGGAAGATATAAAGTATGCTTTAGCATTCTCTTTGCTAGACTGCTTGTCATGAAAATGTTTCCATCACTAAATCTTCCTTGTGACCCTAAAACTATAGTGATGAATTTATAATTTGAGTCGGCGATAGCCAATAGCACAATTGAGAACGTTTGTTTGTAGTTAAAATAAGATGATCCACTTTATGCAGGCTTTTTAATTACCACATGTTTACTGTGAATGGCTCCATTGCAATACGGGAATTGTCATTTTCTTTTAAAACCAACTACGACTAATTTCCACTTTTCTTCTGATGGTTCTGGCAAATATATCGTTTGCATTAATTTTCAAATTGCCTGAGATACTTCTCGAGACTGTTCGATCACCCATTCTGTAGCTGAAGCCAATACTTTTGTAAATGTTTCCTGTGGCCATGTATCTGCAACAAAAAAGAAATTGTTTATGGCAAATGTTTTGATTGCAAAAAATTATTTAAAAAATATTTTTCTTTTGCATGTTTTAAAAAGGTTTATAAAATTATTTCTTATGTATTGGTAATAATAGAATTTTTAGAGTTTTATTAATAAGGCTCCAAAATTCAACCATTGTTGTAGGATCTGAAGCAAAGGCATTGTGGAAAAAAATAAGACATTCATTGGGGGATGCGCTTAGGAGGCAGCAAAAATATTTCAAAAGTGCAGCACCAGCGGAAGCTATTAAAGAATGGAAATTTCAGAAAGAGATGGGATTCCTGCAGCTCTACATGGCCAATAAATCGAGAGAAGGGAACCTTCGAGAAGACGATGGAAATGAAAACGTTACTGAAGGTTCTAAAGAATATGTAACATTTGCAGAGGTCGAGGATGAAACTGTAGAAGAAGTGAATATACAGCAGCAAAAGGAAAGCATAAAGGATGAAGCTCAACCACAGAAACTTCCACAAATTTGCCTCCGAGAGCAGCTTAAACCCCTACATCATATGCAACTCCGAAATCAGCTAAAAAATTTAAGATAA